TGCTCCAGGATACAAACGAAAGGCTACTGTTTTAGAGGACGATATAAGTCACTGGATTAAGATGACTTCAAGATGTACAAGCCTTTTTCCTGTGGAGTTAGTTTTGATTTTGCCGAAATTGTTAGTTCCTAGTTTCTGAGGAAATCAAGTCAATACATAGGACGCAAATGGTGGAACCTTTTTATATAACGGTGGAACCTTTATATAAAAGCAGCATTTTGGGGGCTGAGGTGGGAGCATCACTAGAGGCAAGGAGATTGCAACCAGCCTGGGCAACAACGAGACCTGTCTTTTAAAAAGAAAACAATTACAGCCGAGCGCGGTGGCTCAAGCCTGTAATCCCAGCACTTTGGGAGGCCGAGGCGGGTGGATCACGAGGTCAAGAGATCGAGACCATCCTGGTCAACATGGTGAAACCCCATCTCTACTAAAAATACAAAAAATTAGCTGGGCATGGTGGCGCGTGCCTGTAATCCCAGCTACTCAGGAGGCTGAGGCAGGAGAATTGCCTGAACCCAGGAGGCGGAGGCTGCGGTGAGCCGAGATCGCGCCATTGCACTCCAGGCTGGGTAACAAGAGCGAAACTTCGTCCCAAAAAAAAAAAAAAAAAAATTACAGGGGCCAGGCACCGTTGCGCATACCTGTAATCCCAGCACTTTGGGAGGTGGAGGCAGGCGGATCGCTTGAGCTAGCCTGGGCAACATGGTGATCCTATCACTCCAAAAAAAAAAAAAATACAAAAATTAGTTGGTCAGAGTGGCACTCACCTATTGTCCTAGCTATTGACGAGGCTGAGATGGGAGGATCACGTGAGCCTGGGAGGTCAGGGTTGCGGTGAGTCAAGATCACGTCACTGCACTCCAACTTGGGCAGGAGACTGAGACGTTGTTTCAAAAAAGAAAAAATTACAAAACAATACTAATAAACACCTCTTCCTAAACCATTTTTAAAGCTACCCAGACATTATTTTAGTGTTGTGTCTTTTCTTTCAAAGTTTATGTTTCAGTTGGGTGGCTGAGGCACGAGGATTGCTTGAACCTGATAGGTGGAGGTTGCAGTGAGCCGAAATTGCGCCACTGTGCTCCAGCCTGAGCGACAGAGCAAGACTCTGTCTCAAAAAAAAAAAAAAGAGAAGCAGAAAATTGTTTTTCATTCTGTAAACGCTAACTGTTTTGAGTTTGCTGCCACTATTAGCAAAGAGGGAGTCCTGCCGAGTGAGGTTTCCCTGAGTCTTTGTTTCTGTCACGTGTACATGTGTACAGTAGAAGGCCCGAGATGCCACAGGCATTGCCAGAGCAGCAGGCACAGGGTAGACCCTGCCCTCCAAGGTTGGGGATCCTGTGGTGATGAGTGTGGCTGCAGAAAGCGAGCTCTGGCGGAGCCGAGTGGTACATTCTGAGTGTCTTCATGTCTCACCCAGTGTCCAACACTGTGTTTCTCCTCGAGCTGTTTTGTGTTTGTTTGTTTGTTTTTTGACAAGGGCTTAGAAAACTCTTCCTTCCCCCATACCTTTCTCCACTGGCTGGAACCCCTCTGGTGCGCCTGAGAGCCCACAACCTGCTGGGTGTTTGCTCTGCTCTGGAGAAGGCGGCCTCGTCTTCCTGTCTTTAGTTGAGTGTTTCATTGCTACTGGACTAGTTTTCATTTAGGAGAACTCTTCTGCTCTGACAGTTCTTTTTCCTTTGTTTTTTCTTTTTTCTCTTTTTTTTTAAGACGGGGTTTCACCATGTTGGTCAGGCTGGTCTTGAACTCCCGACCTCAGGTGATCCGCCCGCCTTGGCCTCCACAGTGCTTGGATTACAGGCGTGAGCCACCGCACCCGGCCTCTTTTTGCTTTTTTAAGACAGCGTTTCACTGTTGTTGCCCAGGCTGGAGCACAATGGCATGATCACTGTAACCTCTGCCTCCCAGGTTCACATGATTCTCCTGCCTCAGCCTCCACAGTAGCTGGGATTACAGGTGTGCCACCACGCCTCACTAATTCTTTTTTTTAATTTGTAGTAGAGACGGGCTTGCTCTTTATTGGCCAGGCTGGTCTGGAACTCCCGACCTCAGGTGATCTGCCCACCTCAGCCTCCCAAAGTGCTGGGATTACAGGTGTGAGCCACCACACCCGACCCGTTCTTTTTTCTTAACATCCTGTTCTTGGATATGCTTTCTTCTCTTAGCTCAGTAACAGTATTGTTGAAAGTTTTTTGGTTTTCTTAAAATCAGTCTGTGCTTTCCCTTGGCTGCTGTCTTCTCCTTGCTGGCTTTGCCTGTCTCTGCTGGGCCTTGGCTCAGGTCTGGGGTTCCTGGACTGCCTGTCCCCTCAGGGGTGTGGCTGGGCCCGCCCCCAGGGATGCCTGGTTGGGCCTTTTTCTTGTGCACAACGGGGCTGTATAACTCCAGGAACTCTGGAGGGAGGCTGTATGGAGAAATTGGGATGTTCAGAGCCGGTCCACAGTGAGTCGGAGGAGCCAGATTCTGCATGTGAAGCCATCCTGAGCATGCATGGGCTCTGTGCACATTGGGCTTTGGGGCATGATTAAGATGCCTGACAATTTGTCCAGATAAGGCTAAGTAGCTCTTCGAAGACATGGTAGAAAATGCTGTGCCAGAATCTTATTGGCAGCACTTTTTCTTGGTGAAATGTAAAGTAATGGGGTAGCAGGCTGTGGATACTTGTGGGTTTGGTTGGATACGTGTCTTCATAGCATGGGTCAGGCAGGCATGACAAGAGGACATTGCTCCCCCTCCCATGACCCTCCTGATGCTGTGGGGCAAGTGGGCAGGTGAAGTAGAGGGCTCAGCCAGGTCTGTATTGCAGCTCCGGCAGCTTAGAAGTCAGCCAGCATCACCTGCAGAGGGAGACGGGCTGGTCTCCACCTGCCCGTGTGGTCTGTTTCCAGTGCTCACTTTCTGACAGTCTTAGGGAGAAATGTGAGCTGCGCCTGCAAGTCAGAGAAGAGTGTACCCGAACGAAGTGGAAGACTCATGCAGAAAGTGGGTCACGGCTGGAAAAGCGGGTTGTCTGCTCCCACAGAAGTTGATCAGTCCACGCCACGTTTTACTGTTGGGCCATTGGATTTCACATCTTTCTTGTGTTAGAGCGCGGTAGGAAAGATTCAGCCTAGAAGCAGGTGTGAGAGCTGTGCAGAGGAGAAGTTCTCTGTGACACGCTGTACCTCCAAAGGTACACCCTGTCAGCGCGGGGGTCAGGCATCCTCATGGCAGGAGTTTGCACCTGTGGTCTGTGGTGCTCTTGGAGTTGTGGGTTGGGAAGCAGCTTAGGAGCCTCTCCCAAAGCTTTTAGCAGATTTTAATATTTCAGGCACAAACCTAGCTCAACTTTTTTTTTTTTTTGAGCTGGAGTTTCACTCTTAATCCCCCAGGCTGGAGTGCAATGGCGCAATCTCAGCTCACCGCAACCTTTGCCTACCAGTTTCAGGTGATTCTCCTGCCTCAGCCTCCCAGCTAATTTTGTATTTTTAGTAGACACAGGGTTTCTCCATGTTAGTCAGGCTGGTCTTGAACTCCTGACCTCAGGTGAATCCACCTACATTGGCCTCCCAAAGTGTTGGGATTATGGGCATGAGCCACCGCACCCAGCCTCAAGCATTCTCACTTTAGACGTAGTAGATTCTGGGTGGCAAGGTGAGCTTCTTGCAGCTATTAGTTCCAAGGACACCGGAGCTTCCTTGACGAATCCTGGTAGGCTCTAGGCTCCAAGTGAAGAGGTGGCCCCTTCCCTTGACTGGCCTGTGTATTATGAGAGCATGATGAAACAGACCCAGGAGTGGCTGCTGCGTAGTGTGACGACTGAAGACAGAGACTGGCCTGAGTTTCAGCAGACAGGAGGGCGGACGCTGGGGGCTAGACTCTATAGGTGCATGTGTGTGGGTGGGGGAGCAGAGGTGCTTTGGGTGCAGCTGAGCTCTCTTTGCTCTAAATCAGTGTTAATACCACTTTTTCTTACGCACAATGTATTTGGTCATTTTATTTGCCAACTTGAAATCCCCTGGCTTCCCGAGGACTTGAGTGCAGGTTGCGTTTGGTGCTCGTCCCTTCCTGACCTGGCCTCCTCCTTGTCATCTCAGGCCGCCCCCTGTCCATCTCATTCCTGTAGCTAACTTCTTTGCCTTTCAGAAGTCACCCCAAGCGCCTGTCCTTGCAGGAACTCGCTCCAGCTGTGATGTGCGAAAGCTCGCTCTCCTGCCCCCAGTCGGGTTTAGTTAGCACCTCATGTCACGACCATTGTGATAGCTGGGGGAAGCTGAGCAAAAAGACACCGTCCCTTTGCCCCTGGAGCCTAGTGTGCATCTGGGGAGATGGACCTCCGTAAAGCCATGCAGCGGCACCGCCCGCTGCTGCGTGCAGGGAAGGAAATGCAGATGCCCGTGCTGGGGCTGGGCATACCGGGCATTGCAGAACCTCCTCCAGAAAACCCTTTCCATGCCCTTCCCTGGATCCCTCTTCTGCGGCTCTGGCATTCACTGCCCTGTCCTGTGGCTGTTGATGGACTCATGCTGCCCCCACAGCTCTGCGGTATCCTGACAGCAGGGCCTGGGCTCACTGTGTGCCCACAGCACCTGGCGCACCACGGGCCCTCACTGCGGGTTGAAGAGCTGCTCTCTGGGAATATGTTGGTCCTGTCTCTGAGGCACACAGGCCCACCTAAGAATAGGAGGTTCCCTGAGGAAAGTGCACAGGGCACACACAAGCAATTAAAATTGTCAGGGATTTTCTAGAACTTACAGTTGGCAGCTGTAGACCCCACACTGGAGTAGTTTGGTGATAATCTGAATAACTGCACAAAACAAGTTAAACTCGAGAGGACGGGAGCTGTGACTTGTTTCTGTAACGAGTTGAGGGATGCGTAGGTGCTTCCCACAGCAGCTGCACAGCCCACTGGGCTCAGCTGCCGACTGAACCTGTGCCCCAGTCGCACCAGGGCTCGTGTGCTGAAAACCAAGTGTGTGCGTCTGTTTCTAAGGTTTGTTTGTTTCTTTGTTTTGAAGGTCTTATGGTCTGATTCTTCAGTAACATCAGTAACCAAATCTTCCTCTGAAGTGACTGAATTTATTTCAAAGGTAAGGTGATCAAGGGCTCTTATAAAAATGGAAAGAATCTCACGCCTGTAATCCCAGCACTTTGGGAGGCTGAGGTGGGTGGATCACAAGGTCAGGGGATCGAGACCATCCTGGTCAACATGGTGAAACCCCATCTCTACTAAAAATAAAAAAATTAGCTGGGCATGGTGACGCGTGCCTGCAGTCCCAGCTGCTCAGGAGGCTGAGGCAGGAGAATTGCCTGAACCCAAGAGGCGGAGGTTGTGGTGAGCTGAGATCGCGCCATTGCACTCCAGCCTGGGTAACAAGAGCGAAACTCCGTCTCAAGAAAAAAAAAAAAAAAAAAAAACCGGAAAGAATCAAGTTCCCCAGTGGCTGATGATACCACAGAGTAATTTCCCTGGTCACTCCCGTCAGCCAGTGAGCGAGCGCAGGGCCAGGTCTCCTGCCCACCCACAGTGGGGTCCCCGGCCCTCTGCTAACATGAATGCAGCCGCGAGCACAGGATCCTGACACAGTGGGTCCCCTCCTTCAGCTGTTGAGACTCAGGGGAGCCTCCCCTCCCCTCCCCTCCCCTCTCCTGCCTCTTTTCTTTTCTGCCATCGGAGCTCACTGCAGCCTTGACCTCCTGGGTTCAGGTGATCCTCCCATCTCAGCCTCCCCAGTGGCGAAGACCATAGGCATACACCACCCTTATCTTTACAATACCTGGTTCAGATGTTTAGGGCCCACTGGCCTGTGCTGTAGCGTGAACCACTGTCTCAGCAAAATGAGGCATCTCAAACAGTCCCCTCTGTGAATGGGATAGCACATAGAAATGTCTCCAAAGAGAGTCTTACATTTTCATTATGAAGCCAAGAGCCCCGTCCTGCAGGAGAACGTGGAGTGAGGACAATCTCTGATCACACTTACCTTTTTGGCTTCTCAGGCGTTGAAGAACACTGCAGGCCATGCCTTCAAGGGTAACAGACACCCCTGAGAATCTGCTTTTCCCTCTGCAGTGTTTGAAACACTCACTTTCCTCACCTCTGTGTGTGGTGTCCCACTTTGTTAAGCACATCCTCCCTGGATCCACTAGTGCTGGCTGGGACTTCGACCTCTCATTGGACTTTTGTCTTGGTGTTTTTGTTGTCTTGTTTCTTTTTGAGGCAGACACTCACTCTGTTGCCAGGCTGGAGTGTAGTGACATGATCTTGGCTCACTGCAACCTCCGCCTCCCAGGTTCAAGTGATTCTCCTGCCTCAGCCTCCTAAAGTGCTGGGATTACAGGCATGAGCCACCATGCCTGGCACCATTTTATCCCCAAGTATTTCTTCTGCCCCATCCTCCCCTCTCCTGGGACTCCAGCTGCACACACCTCAGACTCTGGGTGCTGACACCCCACCACTCTCTCATGCTTGTGCATTTCTCTGTGTGCGTGTGTCTGGGTGCTTCCTGTGTCGGTCTCCATGCCAGCTGGTTCCCTCAGCTCTGCCCAGGCTGTTGTGGAGCCCGTGCATGTACTCAAGTCCTCATCTCTGGTGCCAGGGGTTTCTTTTGTGTCTTATCTCCCTGGTTTTTCGATTTGACATGTCTTATGAAGTTTCCATCTCTTCGCCTGGTGTGGTAGCTCACACCTATAATCCCGGCACTTTAGGAAGCTGAGGAGGGCAGATCATGAGGTCAGGAGTTTGAAACCAGCCTGACCCACATGGTGAAACTCCGTCTCTACTAAAAATACAAAAATTAGCTTGGCGCGGGGCGTGAGGCAGGAGAATTGCTTGAACTTGGAAGGCGGAGGTTGCAGTGAGCCAAGATTGTGCCACTGCACTCCAGCCTGGGCGACAGAGCGAGACTCTATCTCAAGAAAAAAGAATTTTCCATCTCTCTGCTGAAAGTTCTCGTTTTCTCTGGGTTCTTTAGTATGTCCATCATAGCTGTTGAAAGCCCGTCAGATAGGTCCCATATCTGGCTTATTTCTGAATCTGGTTCTAATGATGCCCTTATCTCTTGACAATAGTTTTTCCTCCCCTTTATTTATTTATGTTTTGGTATGTCTTGCAAATGTTGACTGAATGGCAGACGTGTTTAGATCGTCATAGAGCCAGAGGAGAGTGGTTTTTATGCCTGGAAGGGGTCAACACCTCTTCTGCCAGCCCTTAGTGGGGTTCTGGAGGCCATCTGGGCAGGATGGAACTGGCGCTGGGCTCTTGCTGCCAATTACCTGCAGGGCCTCTCCAGTGGAGGCAGCTGCTGCCTGAGCCTGGAGGGTTCTTCTCCAGCGTCCTGCTTTGCTCCCAGCTTTCAGCCGTCCCTGCAGGCCTGTGGTACACAGTGGGGCACTCTCGACCCTCTGAACCCTTTTTCGGGGGCAGACTGCTACTGCTTGTTTGCTCCGTGGTGCTGGGTTTGTGGGGGTGAGGGGCTTCTCCACTCCTCAGCCTGGTCCCAGGCAGGCCCATGCGCCTGGGCTTTGGGGTGGCACTTCCTCAGCATCTTGCCTCCCCAGTGGGAGCTGACTTCCTCCATCACCAGAGCATTTGTGCTTTTCCTTCTTCCAGGAGCAGTGGGTCTTCTTGTGACTGGTGGCAGAGGAAGGGAAGCATTGCCCCTGCCCCACCCCTAGAAATGGGGCTTTTGCTTGGGCTCTGGGGCCAGCAGCAGTTCTTGTCCCTCCTCCAACGTCTTAAGGGCTTTGCCTCAGATCGAGAGTGGTCCCAGGAATGGCACAAGGCCTGGTGCCCAATCCCAGGTGCCACCCATGGGGCTCTCTCCAGCTCCTCCTGCAGAAGAGAACTTGTGGAGAAGGACCCACTTGCCCCTCCGGGGGCTCCAGCACTTCTCTTGGCTGTGTCGGCCTGTGGCCGTGTGTCTGTCTCTTTCTAGGCCTGCTAATGTGGCGGCCACCTGGGCCTTGTGCCCTCTTGGCTCCTCATGGGGGCAGGTCGCGTTTGAAAGTAAGTTCACCTGGTGGCCCAGCAGCTTTCACACGAGCTCAGGGAATGTTGTGATTGCGTAGATTGTCAACCTTTTCCTGATGCTGCTGTGAGAGCAGTGTTCTTTTGTGGCTTTCTATACCCTACATGGATGCAGGCACCAGAATAGCGCTGACGGTGGCATAAATCATAGCAGACCAGCGGGCAGCACCATGAAGCACCTGCCTGGGTTTTCCTGCAGTGGCGGAATTCTGTTGATGGATCTGACACACCTCCTACGCTTTGTCCTCTCTTTCAGCTCTCTCAGCTCTACCCTGAGGAGAACTTGGAGAAACTCATTCCTTGCTTAGCTGGTCCGGATGCATTTTACGTGGAGCGAAACCACATGGATCTGGACTCAGGCCTGAGGTGAGGCCCTTACCGGGACGGTGCCGCCCGGCACGTCTGCAGCTCGCAGGGACGGGCCGGTCCCACAGTCAATGTCACGGTCCACCAACGAGCTCCGGGAGGATGCGCGGCCACCTGGACCTGAGTCTCTACTTGGCCTATAGGATTTCCGTTAGTTCTGGAGGATTTGGGAGCCGTCAGCTCACTGAGGGCAGTTCTGGGCGCGTGAGAAAGGGAATTCCACGTGGTCCCACCATGTCATGGGCTTTGGCGGTCCCGTGAAGTAATCCTGGGTCGCTGTTTCCATCCTGTGGTCCAAGGTTGAGACTCTCCCAGATGAAACTGGCGTCTCTTAAACGCTTTCTCTGGACCTCAGATCGTTCCGTGGCTCACGCGGCATGCGCAGTAATACGGCCTGCGGTTTCCGTAAACGTGCTCAGCCAGGGCCATGGAGACTGATGTCCGAGTCCCTTTCTGGCTGATGGTGGGTGGCACCGATGTCACGCACGTCACGGGGCCTGACTCCTATCATCGGCCTTGATGAGACCATGAGCACAGTGTGGAAGGGAAGGGCTCTCAGAAACATGGCAGTCGGGCAAGAACTCAGTCGACTTTCAGCAGGAAGAATATGAGGCTCTGGCGCTTCGGGGTTTTTCCTCTAATACACGTTTCTCGATTAAAAATTAAATTTTGTCTTCCAGTTTGTCAGCAGGAATGCCATTTTAGTGCTGATAAGACCACTTGTTTGCTTTTTAGGTACCTGGCCTCATTACCTTCCCATGTGCTGAAAAATGACCATGTCAGGAGGTTTCTCAGCACTTCCTCTCCACCCCAGCAGCTTCAGAGTCCAAGTGAGTTTGTAAAATATGATTAAATAAAAGTATGTGTGTATATGTATATGTGTGTGGATGTGTGTGTGTGTGTGTGTGTGTGTGTATATATAAAATCCCTGGTAGTCTAGTGGTTAGGATTTAAAAAAGTGAAACGGCCAGGCATGGTGACTCACACTTGTAATCGCAGCACTTTGGGAGGCCAAGGTGGGCAGATTACCCGAGGTCGGGAGTTCGAGACCAGCCTGACCAGCATGGAGAAACCCCATCTCTACTAAAAATACAAAATTAGCCTGTAGTCCCAGCTACTCAGGAGGCTGAGGTAGGAGAATCGCTTGAGCCCAGGAGGCAGAGGTTTTGGTGAGCTGAGATTGCACCACTGTATTCCAGCCTGGGCAACAAGAGCAAAACTCTGTCTGAAAAATAAGAAGAATAACAAATAAATTACATAAATAAAAGTATTTCCATTGTCTGTAAATTTTTATGGTATTTATTTTTAAATTCATAGGTCCTGGCAACCCCTCCCTTTCTAAAGTAGGTACAGTCATGGGCGTGTCTGGAAGGTAAGAAGTCTTCTGGGTGACCAGCACGTTTCAGTTAAGCATTGTACGTTTACTTTGAGTCCTGTGGAAAGTTGTTTCTAGAATGAAGTCTTTCTCAAGTTGAGTCCTGGATGATATTGAGAAGAATTGGGGAGAGATGATTGAATTTATGATTTCCAAAAAAAGTTCTCTGAGCCACTGGAATCAGAATTCCCAGGGACTCCTCCCCAGTGCAGTATCCCAGGCCCCATCCCAGACCTAGGAAACTAGAATTTTTGAGAATCTGGCTGTGAGAAGCCTGCTAACGGAAGCACAGGGTCGTGCTGCTGCTGAGCATCCTCTCGCAGCATGGGCCCTGTGTAGCTGCAGTTGTGCGCCGGCAACACAGAGGCTCCCCTTCTTCGCTTCAGCGAAGTGGGCTGCCACAGATCAGGCACACACAGCCCTACGGGGAGCTGCATGGAGATCAGTCTGGGCGTGAGGCCTCAAGGAGCGGATTGGTGTCTTCCTAGTGTCGGGCCGGGTGAGCAGTCAGTCAGTGGGTGACTTTGCAGTTCAGGAGCAAGGCCAGGGTGGAGCGCCGCTCATACACTTTACTTTCCTAAAGAAGTGTATTCGAATATTCAGCATGTAGTAGTCTGTTTTAATTTATGATTTATCAGTGTCGTCCTTTGACTTAGAGGTAACAGAAATATTTATCACAGGAGCATGTTTTTAAAAAATACACGTAACAGAAACTTAGCATATAAATCAGAAATCTGGTTGTGACAGATACGTACATAATACACGTGTGTACACACAAGTAGATACATACTCCTAAGCACGGCAGAAGCATGTGAGAGTATCTGCACAGCCACCTGTATGCATGTGTGTGCACAGGCGTGCACTACAGAAATCTTAGCTGCAGAGGTTGCTTGGGGAGGGAGGGCAGCAATAGCACACCCGTGTTTGCAGTTCATGTGGCCCGTGATACTAGGGCAGGCCGGAAGGTGGAGGCTGGCACAGGAAGGCCTAGAAGTGAGGTCTGTGGTGGCATCTTTGGTTGCAGAAGCTGCAGTTTCTCTGTGCTCCTTCTGCTCCTGTCCCACAGGCCTGTATGTGGAGTGGCTGGCATTCCATCCTCGCAGAGCGGAGCCCAGCACCACGGGCAGCACCCGGCCAGCTCAGCTGCCCCCTTGCCCCACTGCTCACACACGGGCGGTGCGGGCTCGGCCCTGGCCTACCGGACCCAGATGGACACGTCGCCCGCCATCCTCATGCCTTCCAGTCTGCAGACCCCTCAGACCCAGGAGCAGAACGGGATTCTAGACTGGCTTAGGAAACTGCGTTTGCACAAGTATTACCCCGTCTTTAAGCAGCTCACCATGGAGAAGGTATGTGGGTGGCCTAGCTGGCCAGACAGAATTGCTGGACGTTCTCTCAAGACGTCCCTGGGGAAATTGAGTTGAGTTTCCAAAATAAACCCAAGGTGGAAGAAGTAGGGAGGCCGAGGCATACCGCCTGTTCTTACAGGGGACAGTGGGCTTTGCAGAGGCCACCTGCAGCTGAAGCCAGACAGAAACAGGGTACGTTATAAACAAACAGCTTTCCTTGGTGCCTCCAGATCTTTACAAACTAGGCACTGCGTGATGGGAGGGACAATGTGTTCCCAGAGCCCTACTGTGCACAGAGACAGTGGGCTCTGGTGCCTCACCCTGTTTAGACATCTCTCCACGTAGTTGGTGCAGACGACTGAGGCGGGTCAGATCTTGAGGAATGGGGGATTTTACATTTTCCAAGAAGTCATACCTAGAGGATTTTTATGGGGAACACTTTTTTATTGTTAAAAAAACTCTGAAATTTCTTTTTTTTTTTTTGAGACGGAGTTTCGCTCTTGCTACCCCCGCTGGAGTGCAATGGCGCGATCTCGGCTCACCGCAACCTCCACCTCCTGGGTTCAGGCAATTCTCCTGCCTCAGCCTCCTGAGTAGCTGGGATTACAGGCACATGCCACCGTGCCCGGCTAATTTTTTGTATTTTTAGTAGAGATGGGGTTTCACCATGTTGACCAGGAAGGTCTTGATCTCTTGACCTCGTGATCCACCCCCCTTTGCCTCCCAAAGTGCTGGGATTACAGGCGTGAGCCACCGTGCCCGGCCCCAAAAAACTCTGAAATTTCTTAAGTCTTGATGTCACTGATAAAAGTAGATGAAACCTGTACAATGTATTTGAGCTCTGGGCTCCCTCTGCTGGGCAAACCAGCTTGGTGCCTTTTATCTATGTAAAAATTTAATTTCTGGAAAAATCTATAATTGAATCTAGAAATAAAGTTTTTACCACATAGTTAAGTCAAAATCGTGTCTCTTTGTAACACTCTCTGTTTAGGATTTGTGAATTTAAAAAGTTTTAAATGTTTTATTCTTATATTTTCACTGAGATGGCCTAAATCACAAATTCTGTTAGGAAATACCGTGAAAACTAGAGGCTGCTGTGTGTGCGTAGCACCAGCCGACACAGTGCAGTAGCCACACACCATTCAGTGTGGATGGCCTCTGCTTTTCTGGATCACTTGCTACCTGACAGAGTTGCTGTCATCTTTGAAGTGATGGTGATTTTGTAAGCAAAGAGCCATTATAAGAAGACCATTCCAGCTGGGCACGGTGGCTCAGGCCTGTCATCCCAGCACTTTGGGAAGCCGAGGCGGGTGGATCACTTGAGGTCAGTAGTTCTAGACCAGCCTGGCTAACATGGTGAAACCCCATCTCTACTAAAAATTAAAAACTAGCCAGGCATGGTAGTAGGTACCTGTAGTCCCAGCTACTTGGGAGGCTGAGGCAGGAGAATCACTCGAGCCTGGGAAGCGGAGGTTGCAGTGAGCAGAGATCCTGCCACTGCGCTCCAGCCTGTGCAACAAGAGCAAGACTTCATCTCAAAAACAAAAAAGACCGTGGTGAGTTCTGAAGGAACTGCGTTCTGGTGGGGCTGTCCTGGGGAGGGTGGTGAGTTCTGAAGGAACTGTGTTCTGATGGGGCTGTCCTGGGGAGGGTGGTGAGTTCTGAAGGAACCGTGTTCTGATGGGGCTGTCCTGGGGAGGGTGGTGAGTTCTGAAGGAACCGTGTTCTGATGGGGCTGTCCTGGGGAGGGTGGTGAGTTCTGAAGGAACCGTGTTCTGATGGGGCTGTCCTGGGGAGGGTGGTGAGTTCTGAAGGAACTGTGTTCTGATGGGGCTGTCCTGGGGAGGGTGGTGAGTTCTGAAGGAACTGTGTTCTGATGGGGCTGTCCTGGGGAGGGTGGTGAGTTCTGAAGGAATTCTGTTCTGATGGGGCTGTCCTGGGGAGGGTGGTGAGTTCTGAAGGAATTCTGTTCTGATGGGGCTGTCCTGGGGAGGGTGGTGAGTTCTGAAGGAACTGTGTTCTGGTGGGGCTGTCCTGGGGAGGGTGGGGCGCTATCACAAATCACATCTCCATGGCGGTTGGAACTGACTCACACAGGCGTTTTCTTCATCACCTGCCCCACAGTGTTTAACTGCTGGTGACTTACAGAGCAGAGAGCAGTGGGTCCTTTTGACAGTAGTGGTGCGCTCATCCACACAGCCTCTGCGGAAGGTGCCGTGGAGGGGCGGGGGACGCTCTTGCTCAGAACTGCATCTCGGAGTTGAACCGTTGACACCAAGTCATTTAGCAAGCAAGGGCTCTGGCATTCCCCAGCCTGCAATTGCCTAGTTCAGTTGGGTCTGTTCGCTTTTCCCAGAGGTAGAACAAATTTACCCTAAATCCAGCTCCAGCTTCTTTGTCCTCAGAATCCTAACTGATGTCTCGGTAACTTTGTCATTTGTTTTTTCTGTGAAAGTTTTTGAGCCTTACTGAAGAAGATCTGAATAAATTCGAGTCCCTCACCATGGGTGCAAAAAAGAAGCTCAAGACCCAGCTGGAGCTGGAGAAGTGAGTTTGAAACCTGGGTTTGTTTCTGTTCCTCATGTGCTGAATGGAGTGCTGGGGCTTCCAGTGTAAATACCAGTGACTGGATCACTTTCTCTTGCTTATCCAGTCCTTAGTCATGCATGCATGCATTCATTCATTCATTCAGACGGAGTCTTGCTCTCTGTCTCCCAGGCTGGAGTGCAGTGGCACGTCTCAGCTACCTGCAGTCTCTGCCTCCGTCTCCCAAGTAGCTGGGGTTATAGGTGCCTGCCACCACACCCAGCTCATTTTTTGTATTTTTAGTAGAAACAAAGTTTCGTCATGTTGGCCACGCTGGTCTCCAGTCCCGACTTCAGGTGATGCACTTGCCTAGGCCTCCCAAAGTGCTGGGATTACAGGCATGAGCCACTGCACCTGACCAAGTCATTCTTTTAAAGTTCTACAAACGTGGCTTTGGTTTGACAGGAAAGGACCTTTATAGTGAATGTGCGCAATCAGAATTACTTCCTTACCTTAATAATTTGGGGGAGTCTCCCTGTGGAGTAGATGCATCGGGAAGCCATGTGTGAGGCAGCCCATGGAGGCAGGGCTTACTTGTTCCTGTGCTTGATGGTTTCACAGGGAGAAGTCAGAGAGACGGTGCCTGAATCCCTCGGCTCCGTCGCTGGTCACCAGCAGTGGTGTGGCTCGAGTGCCCCCCACCAGCCATGTCGGGCCCGTGCAGTCGGGGCGGGGCAGCCACGCAGCAGGTGAGCGAGGGTGTGTTGGGCAGACGGGTTACTCATTCACAGAGAGGACCGGTGTGTCAGCGGGCAGGTTAACTTGCATGCACAAAGGACCTTGTGTTCTTTTTGATGATCATTATACTTCAGATCACACTCATTTGATTTTTACATTTTTAAATCTTTATACTCGTTGTCCATTATTTTAACTGCTACAGTGTCTGCTGTAAGAAAATAGAATGACAATTGGCTTAGGAGCCAGAGGGCGGCCGCCACTCTGAAGTTGCCTGGGCAACATGGTCAGGGTCAGGTCCAGAAATTGCCGCGGCGAGAGCGAGTGCGTGAGGGGGAGCAGGACTGAGATGGGAGCACCCTCCTTCCAGGACGGGCCCAGAGGCCGTGTTTCACGGCCCATCAGGGATGATGGCTCTCCGTGGACCTTCCTGTTCTGGGGGACCTGCAGTCTACATAATTTGGTTTTCATCCTCTTCCCCCTCTCAGAAAGGGTAGAACACCTAGTGCGCTTGCTCCACTGTCTCACAAGATGAGCCAGGGTTTCTTCACGATAGAAGTCGTAGGAGGAGCAGTGGCTCAGGAGAAAAAATCCTGCCAGCTTGGATTTTAAGTGGTGATTTAACTGGAAAGATCTGTGTGACTCGGCCAGCCTCTGGATGGGGTGCCGTGCAGTGTTGTGATGGTTTCTGGTGGTGCCGGGGGTTCCAACCTTCACGGCAGTGTTCTGGAGTTAGCGGTGGGGGCGGGCAGGGGCCTGGCTGAAGGGGTGTTGACTAGCGCTGCCATTTGAACCTGCCGTATCCGTCACCGTGAGGCCTGGGCCGGCGTGTTTGTTTTCTGACTCAGAGCCCTGCCTGCCCCCGGAAGGAGCACCTGCAGATGATGTGATGCAGGTGCACGGGGCGGGGCTGAGCCTTTGGGGGCGCTAGCTGATGGCCGCTCCTCTGTGCCTCTTCTGCAGAGCTTCGGGTGGAAGTGGAGCAGCCCCATCACCAGCTGCCCCGGGAAGGCAGCTCCTCGGAGTACTCCAGCTCCTCCTCCAGCCCCATGGGGGTACAGGCCCGGGAAGAGAGCTCCGACAGTGCCGAGGAGAATGACAGACGTAAGGGAACGTGCATGGCGCTGGCTCAACCTGCCCCAGCTGTGAGATGGCACTGACCACTCTATTTCCCTCTCTAGGTGTGGAGATTCACTTGGAGAGCACCGACAAGGAGAAGCCGGTGATGCTACTGAACCACTTCACTTCCAGTTCCGCCAGACCCACGGCCCAGGTTCTCCCTGTGCAGAATGAGGCCAGCTCCAGCCCGTCAGGCCACCACCCCCTGCCCCCACAGATGATGGCCGCAGCCTCACACATCGCACCCATCCGCATGCTGAATTCTGCGCACAAGTCGGAAAGGGGAGGCGCAGATATGAAGCTCCTCTCGTCTTCCGTGCACTCACTTTTGTCTCTAGAAGAAAGGAATAAAGGATCTGGACCAAGAAGCAGCATGAAAGTGGACAAGAGCTTTGCCAGTGCCATGATGGACGTGCTGCCCACGCCCGCACCCCACCAGCCTGTGCAGGTTCTCTCTGGGCTTTCGGAGAGCAGTTCCATGTCACCCACGGTCTCCTTCGGTCCCCGGGCCAAAGTCGTGCATGCGTCCACGCTGGACAGGGTGCTGAAGACGGCACAGCAGCCGGCCCTGGTTGTGGAGACGAGCACAGCCGCCGCGGGCACGCCCAGCACAGTCCTCCATGCCGCCCGCCCGCCCATCAAACTGCTGCTCTCATCATCTGTTCCTGCTGATTCTGCCATTTCTGGGCAAACTTCCTGTCCTAATAATGTGCAGATGAGTGTGCCCCCTGCAATAATCAATCCCCGGACTGCTCTGTACACAGCCAACACCAAAGTTGCCTTTTCTGCAATGAGCAGTATGCCAGTGGGCCCCCTGCAGGGTGGCTTCTGTGCGAACAGCAACACTGCCTCTCCCAGCAGCCACCCCTCCACGTCCTTTGCAAACATGGCCACGTTGCCCAGCTGCCCAGCCCCCAGCTCCAGCCCAGCGCTGTCCTCCGTCCCTGAAAGCAGTTTCTATAGCAGCAGTGGCGGTGGCGGCTCCACAGGAAACATTCCTGCCTCGAATCCAAACCACCACCACCACCACCACCATCAGCAGCCCCCGGCACCCCCACAGCCCGCACCCCCGCCGCCGGGCTGCATCGTCTGCACATCCTGCGGCTGCAGCGGCAGCTGCGGCTCGAGCGGCCTGACCGTAAGCTACGCCAACTACTTCCAGCACCCGTTCTCCGGGCCGTCCATGTTCACCTTCCCGTTCTTGCCCTTCAGTCCCATGTGCAGCAGTGGCTACGTCAGCGCCCAGCAGTATGGCGGCGGCTCCACCTTCCCTGTCGTGCACGCCCCCTACAGCAGCAGTGGGACCCCAGACCCCGTCCTGAGCGGGCAGTCCACGTTTGCAGTGCCACCCATGCAGAACTTCATGACGGGGACGGCGGGGGTGTACCAGACCCAGGGGCTGGTGGGCAGTAGCAATGGTTCCAGTCACAAAAAGAGCGGGAACCTATCTTGTTACAACTGTGGGGCCACTGGGCACCGTGCTCAGGACTGCAAACAGCCGTCCATGGACTTCAACCGGCCAGGTAAGCGCGCGCCATGGCCGCGCCAGCCAGCCTCCCGTGGGACCAAGGCACACAAAGGCTTGGCTTTTATGAAGAGTAAACTTATTTCTTTGTAAAGCAAATGATTTTTCGAATGCTCTTTGAAAGCGCGTGGAAATCTTGCTGATAGGCTGTGAGGTCCCTGGAAGGGCTGCAGTTGGGCCTGAAACTGGCATTGTGATTGCAGACCGCCTCTGGGTGTAGAAGCGCTTGGCAGGTGTCCACAGGGCTTCCCTTGCTGTCAGGTCTTGCTTCGAGCCCAGCGCGGCCAGTGTGAGGGATGCAGTGCTGCCCCCTGGCTTACAGTGGGACCCTCGGGCTGTGGCGCATGTCAGTCTGGACCCTCTGCACCCCTCCCTGCCGGTATGGCTGTGGGTGTGGGGGCTATTGTCCCTCGGCTCTGTGGCATCTTCTGTTCCCTCCTGTTTGAGCTCCATGATTTTTTATCTCCTTCAGTCAAACCCCAGTGGATGTCTGATGTATTTATAATAGGTTTCTTCTTGCTGTTTGTTTTGAAAACTGGGGACTGGGAAAGTGAGTCCCGACTCTGACAACTCACTGTGCTACCTTACAAAACTCACTTGATCTCTACAGACTTCCAGTCGCTTCTAAGGGTTGCACTAGATCTGTGATTCACAGACCTGTCTGTGCATCACTGTCACCTGCAGTTTTTAGAAATAAACACCGCTGACTCAGCAGGTCTGTGGGTGAGGTGGGCTGACGGCTCTGCCATGCGAGCTCGGGTGGGTCTGTGCCTCCCTTCATAGAGCTGGCTGCATCTCCAGAGGCACGGGGCACTCGCCAGCCCTCACCTGCCCTCACCCAGTGCCAGGACACACGTTAGAGCAGCCCGATTACCGTGTCCAAAGCCTGACTTCCCGAGAAAACTCCTCAAGAAAAAGATTGGTAACTTTTCCTGACTCATTTCACCCCAGTCTGATTTTATAAACTTGTAAAATGAGGTCCCATTTTGCAGGGGCAGGAAGGGAGTGGAAACAGGATGGGTGGTCTAGATTTCCAGCACCAGAATCTTGCCCAGTGGCTCTGGAAATGACTGGACAGATTGGTGGTTGGTGGTGATTCTACAGACATTCAAATTTGACCTCTTTTTCCCCCTCTCTCTAGGTACTTTTAGGTTGAAATACGCCCCTCCAGCAGAAAGTCTGGACTCCACAGATTGATATTTTTCTCTGGCAACAGAACATTATTAAGCCATGGAGACATAAGGAAAATTAAACACACAGCTGAGAAGTCTAGTTGCTGTTGAGCTTAATATTTTTAATCCAAAGGTGCTTTACTTTTCCTAGACTGGATAGAAAATCTAGCGTAGAAGTGCATCATACTCGATTTATTGCCAAAACCCTAGATTGGAGCTTGGTGTCAGACTTGCCTAGCGGGCATTTCTGTGGCCGGCGCAATCCGCCACCGACACTTTTGGTTGCAGTGCAGAGACCCTGTGTCTCCCGAAGAGCATTGCCGTCATTGGCCCTCCTAGGCTCACACGTCAATTCCAGGGCAGCTACACGTGGTCTGAATCGAGAACTGAGCTTGGGGTTCTCCAGGTGGAGTTCCACCCGTCGGACTCTTGACACCCCTGGGCTAGGGAAAATGTCGACTTTGTTTTGTTTTGTTCTAAAGTGATTAGCACTAATCTCTGGGATTTTTAAGGATTGCACTACAGAAGAATGTACCCTGATGTAAATCTCTGCAGTTCTGGGAGACAGACTCCTCTGAGAACAGTCAGTGCAAGAGACTCCAATAATCCAGATTAAAGAGTCAGCACCAGCAGGCTACTGGACCTAGGACACAACAGAGATGCTAGTATTCCTTCCCTCCTCCAAGCACTGGTAGCAGTTTCAGGTTTTTCATTTTTTCTGCAAATAAATTTAAACTCCATTATTAAATAGAAATAGTTTACTCGCAACAACTTAATTTCTAAGGGTCCAAGTCCCAGAGAACCCATAGCCGTCAGAGCTTTGAGAGTGAGCACCGTCCTTCCCAGCCGGTCTGGGGCTCTGAGCCCTGTCCTCCACTGCAGATGACCTCTCTCGGGGGCACGGTGACAGCGCGGCTCTGTGAGTGGCTGTGAGGATGCTGCATGTCCTTAGCAGAGTTTGCAAGTTGCTTTCTATCCCACGGGCTCCCCGAGAACCTCCAGCCCCGAGGCTTACCGCTAGCGGATTCACACCTGAGACAGACATTTCAGCAATGATATGGTCCCGTCACTTATCAGCAAAAGATTGGGAATTTCTCCTGTCAGCTGCTTTTGTATTAGGCTGTGTGTTGGTAGTTAATTCCGTTACAAATTACTTGGAAAACAGTGGAAAGTGGTAGGACTCTGGAAGCGGCCACACACCCGAGAGCGACGGGATCTGTACAAGTCTGGTTTTTGTAAGGTAGGAATAAAGGTCCTCACTGTAGATCTCTGTTTCAACCCATGGAAACGAGAGCCTTTTGTCTGAAATGTACAGACTTAAAATCTTCAAGGTTAAAGGGAATTTTCTGCTAAAATAATACTATGATCTAAAATGCAAAAGTCTTCGGTGTTGAAATACGATTGGGAAGATCGTGCCAGGGATTTTGCAGTTGAATATTTTTTAAAAATTGACAATATTCAGGCCATTCTTAAAACGGGACAATCAGCCTCATGAAAAATTGGTGTAAATCAAGAGTACCCTAGAGCGAGGCGCGACGTGAGGGCTGAGTTGTAAGAGCAGCTCCTAACTTCACAGAAACTCAAGCAGAAAGATGTTACGTTTTTTTATGACAGGCTTTTAGAACTTGTAGTTTTAGTTGAATTTTATTTCTATGCAATGCAGAATGAACAGACCCCTGTGTTCTCTCCTCATGGTACACAGTATTAGTGTTGAAGTGATGGTGATGCTTATTACAGCAGCTGTTTAGGGGAATGCTACAGACACTACAAAACGTCAAAATAATGAGAACTGACACAACTTTGCCTTAAAGAGCACTAGACTGGACCTTGTCATACTGCGTTAAGGAAGACTTAGAGTGTTCGTTGATGTTTACGATTTTAATATTTCTGAAGGCCATTACAGTGGCCTGGATCTGTGCTGAAAGCCAAACTTAAATTTTTTGGTTTTTTAAACAAAGAAATATTTTAAATAAATCCTATTTCAACACTGAAATTGTTGAAAACTGTCTCATAACAAAAGGAAAAAAATTTACATTTTTGTTTTAGTGGTCAGTATAGGGGAATGAAAGCGTCTGTTGTTACCCTTGTAACTATTTTGATAAGTATTAGATTAAAACCGAACGTTTTCAGCTCGAAGCCTGGCATTCAGCGCTGAGGCAAACGAGTTCCGACGTTGTCACGGCTGCGTTCCCGGCAGCGAAGGTCTCTGCGGAGCTTCCAGGCGTTTTGCACGTGCACGGGCAGCAGTGCGCCACCTCCGGGAGGCCATCCCAAGTCCAGACCCGTGGGCGCAGAGAAAACGGAACCGCGGGTCCGTGAGGCCCGGCCCTGAGGGAGCCGCAGGCGTGGACTCGAGAGCGTTTGCCAGCAGTGAGCGCTGATGAATCTCCCCAAAAGCAACCAAGGTGGGCGCGCTTGAGCGTTTCGCATTCATCAGACTTCCTCATCTGAAAACACAGAACACACTGACTCTTTCAAGTACTTAGTCATTTTCCTGAAATTGTGATCTGTACCAGAATGCTGTGGCAACCAGGTAGGTGTGGCACTGGCCACGCGCCACGGCTTTGCCCTCTGTAGTCTGTCAGATATTAAAGTTTCTAACCCTGTTTTTTTAATCTCCAAGAATGGGGAAAGTGGAATGTAGAGAAGGAAGTAGAATGTGATGTTGGGATTTAATCCTGCGTTTTATTTTTTAAGCAAAACACTCAGTTTTCTACCTTATTTTCTAACGTTGATTTCATGGTAATATTGACGGTTGGAAGTGTTTAACATAAACACTCATTGCTACAGAGCACTGAGGAAATGGGAGCTAGCACTTGTAATAAAAGTAAACACAAGGTATGTTCTCGAATGCATCTGTGTGAGTGGGTATTTTGGAGACCAGCATCACCTGTCATCTCCGGGTCACAGGAGTCAGCGTGTTGCTACAGTAGCGTTAGTCCGGCCCGTGTTTCAATTCAGTGCTTCGAATTCTAGGTCCTGGATTGCCCAAAGTCAGCACAGTCAGTTTCCACCACAGACTCTGTCTTGGGGCACAGTGCTGGCGGTAGTGACTTTGCCTAAACGTCACCCAGCGGGGCTGCCCCTCACTGTGGGCGCTTGGGCAGTGGGAACTGGGTTGCACCCTCCTTGCTCCCGGTCATTTTCTCGTCACTCTCCTGCTTCCCAGCATTTTGTTTTACGCCTCGCTCGTTGTACACCTGGTGACTGATAGAACCGCATGCCGAGGTCTTGAGATTGTGAGGAAAGCCGTCTCCCTGCGTGACTCGACTGCTGTCCCAGAGGAGAGGCCTGTGTGAACTGAGCAGGGGTGGCTGTGATCTCCCAAAGAATGAGTCAGGTGACACTGAAAGCCATGGGTTCTGAAGAGGCTAATTTGTTGAAAAGTCCCAAGGGTCTGAATGAAAGCATCTTTAATTAACACTCAACACTTGCAATATTCTAGAAAACCATATACTGTGCTGGTTGAGGCCAAAGGTCAACATTGCTCCACTGTTCACCAACGAGGGGGAGCTGTGGCCGTGAGCCACGGCCTCACGTGTCTCTTAACAAGCCCTCATCACATGTATGAGTCTTACGTGCACAAAACAGAGAAGGCTTTGGTCCCAAAACTGGACACCTTGTGTACTCAACCTTCACAGCTTCTATTGGACGTATTTTCTTTTTAGGAATGAAGGAAAATTCTCCCATTTTTGAGCCATTCTTTTGTCAATTCTACGAAATTGCATGTAACTTTATAAATATTTTTAAAAGATATAGTTTTGTAAATATTTAATATTCTGCTAATTTGATTTTGAATTGTAAATGTCAAGTATTCTGTTTTTGGGGTTTTTATGTTTTATTATACTTTGTTAAAAAGGACAAATTGTACATTTTTAGAATGTTTTTATGAGTAAATTTAATGTACTGAAAATAAAAATTTTAAAAAAGGCTCTGTTTGACTTCACTATTTGTCTCAGAATATGAAGCACACTCCTTTTCAAATCAGCCTTACTCTCCAAACTCGGGATTCCATCCTTTCTACCTTCTCAGAGAAATAAAGAGGACAACTGATTTCAATCCCATTCATTCTCTATCAAGGTGCCAAGTTTTTTTTCTTTTTTTGAGGCAACATAGTTTGGCTCTTGTTGCCCAGGCTGGAGTGCAGTGGCACGATCCCTGCTCACCACCATCTCTACCTCCCAGGTTCAAGTGATTCTCCTGCCTCAGCCTCCTGAGTAGCTGGGATTACAGGCATGCACCACCATGCCTGGCGAATTTTTTATTTTTTTTTAGTAGAGACGGGGTTTCTCCATGTTGATCAGGCTGGTCTCAAACTCGTGACCTCAGGTGATCCACCCACCTTGGCCACTCAGAGTGCTGGGATTATAGGCATGAACCACCATGCCTAGCCAAGTTTTGTATTTTTTTTTTTAAGTGTCCCTGCAATTTACAAAGATGTAAATTCCTCATTTGGGGTTAAAGATGTTACAAGTTTCATAAAAATCAAAGTTGGCATGAATGAATCTCAGATACCTAGGTTTGTGGCCCTACCCTGAAGTGGCTCTCTCCCAGGGAGGGAGCGGGCCTGGATTGGGGAGGTAACAACATAGTGAGCATGTGCTCTGGGGAGTGCGTAGGGACACAGCAGCCATGGGAGCTTTGAAGTCAGGACAGGGGACACAGGCGCTTTTGTTGAGCGGCTGGCCTGGGAAGGCAGTTTTACCAGCTCACTCTCCTGTATTTTTCAAGACTTTTAGGTGTCTAGTTAAACTGGAGTTGGGCTCAGTTCACTAGATGAGGCTGGCCACTGGTCTGAGTGCTGAAGTGTGTTTATGCTGCATCTGTACACGGTGCCAGTAGCTCCCCACGGGGTCCCCTGAGGTTACACTTTCTTGACCGCATACACCTAATACCGTTGGTGGTTAGTTTACAGACGATTGGGTATTTATTCCCACAAATCACGTGGGTCTCGCCATCCATCCATCATATCCCGTGGCATGTGAGTTCCCAAGAGAACTTTGGAAGTCCAACCTGGTGGCAGGGCCTTGGCCAAGGGAGGAGGGCGACCTTGACAAGGCAGAAGCCGTCAGAGGGCAGAGTCCGTCCATGTGAGTGCCCCCTCAGCACGACACAACCAGCCGGGATGCCCCTTTTGGGAATACAAGGATCCGCTTGGCTTTGGAAAGTACAGTGTGGGATCCAGGTCTCAACACACTTAGCTTTAATGACCGTTTTTAATTGTGCCTTTATTCAACTTAGTTCATTAAAAACGTACGTTTTAAAGATCCTACAAATAAAGTGACCGTTCACTTGTGGACTATGTCACCCCTCAGCATGTTATTTTTTTTAAAAAGCAGTATTTCTTATAGGAATCTTAGTGATCACACAGCAGTTACAATAATGTCAGATATGATGTATACAGTCAGTGAAGAATTGACATAATGTAAAAATACACATATTAAAAGTAGCCAAGTGGACAAACGCATGCAGCGGGAAAGCAGGTGACAGGAAGTCCTTTAACATCAGTAGAGGGCCCAGACGGAGGGAATCGAGTGTCCCCACTGCAGGAAACAGCTGTTACTAACGTACACAGGTTTTCCATACACATCTAAACACACAAGGTTAAGTTATGACCTGCTACACGGACAGTCTAAAGTGTAACTGACCTTCCTGTGATCCTCCCAAGAACACTGTCAACACTGAACCCCATGCAGGTAATGGGAAGCACTGGTCTTTCATCAAGGTTGAAACTGAAGGGATTTAACTTCTGACATTACCATTTAAAAGCGTATGGCTCCTTTTGGTATGTTTTCTCCACAACTGACATGCACTTAGTGTGGGAGAATTCTGATGGCTGTTTGATCTAACAGTGATAACTGAACTATTAAAAATATGGGAACCTTTTCAGTAACATTGAGTTACAAATTTAACATTAAAATAAAAATTTTAAAAAGGATCATCCATAGCTTGAAGCCAGATGATAGAAGGGAGCGTCTGGATCTGAATGCTTTCAGTTGCACTATTCTGTGGCTGCTGCTGGCCTGAAGGATGGCACAGGTGCACTGCTCCTTTCCTTACCAACACAGGGACTAGCTGGAAGTCCGACAAAACCTGAAACAGAAGAAAGGCCACTCTTTCTCCAGGGTCTTTTCCTTTTGAGGTGTCTTTATGTGTGACTATCTAGAGCACAAACCAAACAGGAAGTGTCTGCCCCTGCAAGTGTGGACTTTGGGTAGAGTTCTGTTAGGAGCCAGGCTCCGTGGGCAGCGCTGACAGTCGGGCTGTTTTCCTGACCCCCCACTGACCCTGCGTTTGTGCCAGCTAAGATGGCAGATGCGTTTGGCGGGGCTTACACTTCACAACTCAGGCCTACAGACCCTCTTAGGGAGACTTCTCTAGCTGAGAAGATTTATACCCCAAAAGCCGGTGGGGTCTGTGAACCTGAAGAGAAGACTCAGGGTCTCTGAAAGCCTTTCAATTACTGCTGGAATTGCAAGTTCCTACTAGTGAGAAAAGAGCATTAAAATAACTTGAAGGTCTATTTCATTGGCAACTTAAAATGCAAAGTATTTTATTTTTAAACTTTTAAAATTTGAAAACGAGCTAGCCTCCACTAAATAATATAGTTCCCAAAGCTGAACTTGCTCCCTTGGAGCTCAGTTTTTCTGCTTCAAATACAAACACAACTTCCTAACACTCCTAGGTGGAAACACTACTGTTTGATGATCTGTGATTAGATGAACTGATGGGTCTCAGTTGGTAACATCCCTTTTTTTTCCTTAGTAAGGGTTTAAAAAAATTCTAGAATAGATGCATTTTTCTAGTTTTACACTGACAATTTCATCCCAAACGTCTCCTGGGAGGCATAGACCATGTACAGGAATCCATCTTCATCCTTCTCACTCTCGTACACCTCTGAGATTGGTGTGGAGACGCTCACCATGCTGTGTCCATTCACCAACAGGAAGAAGGCTTGATTAGCATTTAGCTGTAGGCGCCTTCTATTGAAAGAAAAGGTGAAGAAATACAGTAATACAAGAAGTAGATGAAGCATGTGTTCAATAATATGAGAATCTTCTGAATGCTTTTGAATCCAATACTTAGAAAAGCACAGGACATTCCCTTTGATCACACTGCTATGAGCAATAATCACTGGAAGATTACACACAAGGCTGATTTTAAGCTAGTTTGCTGTCTGAATAGCTGTTAAGCGCCTGATACGAGAAAACAGTGCTAAACAGTTTCCAAACTATTCCAAGATCTAAGCCTGTGCCATTGATTGCCACTCACTAAGTCTACATTTTTTTTTTTTTGAGACGGAGTTTCGCTGTTGTTACCCAGGCTGGAGTGCAATGGCACGATCTCGGCTCACCGAAACCTCCGCCTCCTGGGTTCAAGCAATTCTCCTGCCTCAGCTTCTTGAATAGCTGGGATTACAGGTACCCACCACCATGCCCAGCTAATTTTTGTATTTTTAGTAGAGACGGGGTTTCACCATGTTGACCAGGATGGTCTCTCAATCTCTTGACCTCGTGATCCACCCGCCTCGGCCTCCCAGAGTGCTGGGATTACAGGTGTGAGCCACCGTGCCCAGCCTACATTCTCTTTAACTAAATAGCTTTGCTGTACAAAACCTTAATAACTTGTAACATTTATTTTAAAGAGGAAACATCTACACTATGATGTAGATGTTTATATTTCTTATTTGCTAGACCTCAGATCCCTTCTGCTTCTTACGATGAACGAAACAGAAGGGCCGGGCGCGGTGGCTCACGCCTGTAATCCCAGCACTTGGGGAGGCCGAGGCGGGTGTATCACGAGGTCAAGAGATTGAGACCATCCTGGTCAACATGGTGAAACCCCGTTCTCTACTAAAAATACAAAAAATTAGCTGGGCACAGTGGTGCGTGCCTGTAATCCCAGCTACTCCGGAGGCTGAGGCAGGAGAATTGCCTGATCCCAGGAGGCGGAGGTTGCCGTGAGCCGAGATCGAGCCATTGCACTCCAGCCTGGGTAACAGGAGTGAAACTCCGTCTCAAAAAAAGAAAAAGAAACAGAAGGGATCTGAGGTCTAGCAAGTAAGAAATATAAAACCTCAGGCTGGGCACGGTGGATCACGCCTGTAATCCCAGCCCTTTGGGAGGCCAAGACTGGTGGATCACGAGGTCAGGAGACTGAGACCATCCTGGCTAATGTGGTGAAACCCTACCTCTACTATAAATACAAAAAATTAGCTGAGCATAGTGGCATGTGCCTGTAATCCCAGCTACTCAGGAAGCTGAGGCAGGAGAATCGCTTGAACCCAGGAGGTGGAGGTTGCAGTGAGCTGAGATAGTGCCACTGCACTCCAGCTTGGGTGGCAGCAAGACTATGTCTCAAAAAAAAAAATATACACACACACACACACACACACACATATATATGTATATATATATAAAATCTCAAAAAAAGAAACAGTTTACAGTTTTATTAAGTTGAAATGGTTTTAATCAGAACTGAATCTTAAATTTGGCTGAAAAAGATTTTTAAGGATTTCAACCAGAACTGAAGATTTATCTGTAAGTTTCATAAAGAATGAGAAGTGCTCCCTTTAGCACATGTACTAAAACTGGAATGATACAGAAGATTAGCAAATTTAAAATTAAAAAAAAAAAGAAGTTACTCAGAGGAAATATAAACAAAGGTGACTGAATACCTAATTATCTTGATGAGCTCACTCATGTTGACATGGTCAGGTACAAGGAACTTCGTTTTATCCAGAACAGGAAGCTGCTTCTCACCCTTGTATCGTTCTATTATCACCTAGAAAAGAAACCAGAAGTGAATCCTAAAATAGTCATCGGGCCAGGCACAGTGGCACACGTCTGTAATCCCAGCACTTTGAGAGGCTGAGTGAGGCGAACAGACCACCTGAGGTCAGGAGTTTGAGGCTAGCCTGGTCAACATGGTGAAACCCTGTGTCTACGAAAAATACAAACATTAGCCAGGTGTGGCGGCAGCTGCCTGTAATTCTAGCCACTCCAGGTGCTGAGACAGGAGAATCGCTTGAACCTGGGAGGTCGCACCACTGCATTCCAGCCTGGGGGATAGAGTGAGACTGCCTTCAAAAAATAAAACAGTCATCAACAATGAAAAATACAGATAAAATGCCTCCTATGTTCTAACTGGCACATGCCAAAATGGAGTTTTTTTTTTGAGATGAAGTCTCGCTCTATTGCCCAGGCTGGAGTGCAGTGGTGTGATCTCGGCTCACTGCAACCTTGGCCTCCCAGGTTCAAGTGATTCTCCTGCCTCAGCCTCCTGAGTAGCTGGAAGTACATGTATGTGCCATCATGCCCAGCCAATTTTTGTATTTTTAGTAGAGAGGGGGTTTCACCATATTGGTCAAGCTGGTCTTGAACTGACCTTGTGACCCACCTGCCTCGGCAGCCCAAAGTGTGGGGTTACAGGCGTGAGCCCCCGCGCCCGGACCCAAATGGGCTTTGGAACAGCGGTCATTCGTTTCCTCAAAGCTCTCCTATGAAGAGCAACCATTTGCTAGCTTAGACACTGATGGAAGAGAGATGACAGGGCTGCCACCAGGAAGAGGGGGAACATACTTTGCTGTGTGTCCTTTCATTCTGTGTGATTTGGGAACCATGAAAAATATATACCTAGTCAGAAAAAGACCTCAAGCCTTACAGAGGCAGAGAGGCCGGGGGCCAGCTTCAAGCACAAAACATCTGAAACTGTCAATTCCAATACTACCACTTCCTGAGATGTGGCTGAAGTTCTAATGAAAGTAAATGCCTGTGTTCTAATAAATGTGTAAGTTGTTAATCACGGTAATGTGCTCGGCGTTTTTCCATACTAGAGACTTGTCTACTTGTATTTGACAAGGCAAGCAGAGACCATTGTTAGCTGGTTCTAGGGACAAAGTTTGTGCATAATGACCTGATACTTTCATTTTGATACAGTATTTCTTTAAATCAGACTAAAAATACAAGTATTTGAACTATACAGGGAACAAAAATAGTTCCATATTATGAATTTAAATAAATCCATTAGCTCCTTACCATACTTCCTTTCCATGGAGCAAAATGTTTTTTTTTTAGTTCTAAGCTGCTGTAATATCTGACCACAGATGGGCCTTTTGAGTCTCATTAGCTTCTGTGTTTACTGAGCGCTGCAGACACCTTTATATACAGTGATTCTTCTTCCCTGTCACAGCAAAGAGAAGCTGAATGCCAGGAATGAGAAATCTTTACATGCTTCTTTGGGAAACAAAAATGTCTATCTGTCCATTGTTCCATTGTGTGAGACCTACAGAAGGTTCTGTGTAAGGCTGAATCGAGCTGTCACCACCTTCCCTGGTAAGTCTGAGAGCTTTATCTAGTGGGCATGTTCAGAAGTGTGATATCCACAAGGAAATATCAGTGTGGAGACTCCACCTACTTGAGTTTAAGTGGTAGCAGAAATTCAGAGGCAGTATGGATCCTGAGGCCAGCCAGGGGCTCACGCCTATAATCCCAACACTCGAAGAGATCAAGGTGGAGGATCACTTGAGCCCAGGAGTTTGAGATCAGCCTGGGTAACATAGCAGGCAAGACCCTGTCTCTACAAAAAAAAATTAGCTATGTGTGGTGACCTGCGCCTCTAGTCCCAGCTACTTAGGGGCTGAGGAAGGAGGACTGCTTGAGTACAAGGTGGCTGAGACTGCAGTGAGCCATGATCTCACCACGGTACTCCAGCCTGGGAAACAGAGCGAGGCCCTGACTCTTAAAACAAGGGTACCTCTGAGTTTGACTGTCTGGTGATTCCTGTAGAAACCCCCGTCAAGTGATGTACTCATGCAGTGTTCTCCTCTGCGTACATTCTTGACCAAAACCAAGGCCTGAGTACCTACCGGGATTTTGGTTGGATGCTGCTCTCGAATAAGTCGGACGTCTTCTACTCTTTGTTCTGCAGTGAAAGGAAGAGATAGAAGCCATTAATCACTAAGGGCCAGACAGCTTCTTACCAGCGTTACTGCTGGCCTTACATCCGAGTTCAGCTGTCCTTAGCTGTGGCATAGCAGAACAGTGAAGACACCTTTCCTAGAACTTCAAGAAACAAACTTCACATCTGATAAAGGTTTGTGTCTAAGGCCAAAGGCAACATAACACAGCTCTATCAGGCGACAGGACAGAGATCAAGAATATGGGACTAGTTTAAAGGAACTGGGAGCCCAAGTTTACAGTCATACAAGGCAGATTCATGCATAAGATTCCCAACCCTTCTTCCAAAGACCAACACCACCTGTAACAGTCATTTCAATTTGTGTTAATTTTCCATAGTTTAAGTTGGAAATGTAATCTATTATATCCATTACAAACCAGGAAATGCAATTTTCTCTTATGACTTCCAGCTTTTTAATGATACGGGCCGAAGAGAAAAAAAGCTGCTCAAGAGAACAGAATATGAGGCTGGGCACAATGGCTCACACCTGTAATCCCAGCACTTTGGGAGGCTGAGGTGGGCAGTCAGGAGTTCAAGACCAGCCTGGCCAACACGGTGAAACCCCATCTCTACTAAAAGAAAACAAAAATTAAGCTGGGTACAATGGCACATGCCTGTAATCCCAGCTACTTGGGAGGCTGAGGCAGGAGAATTGCTTGATCCTGGGACACGGAGGTTGCAGTGAGCAGAGATCAAGCGACTACACTCCAGCCCGGGCAACAGAGCAAGATACTGTCTCCCCCTCCAAAAAAAAAAAAAAAAAAAAGCCAGATGCAGTGGTTCATGCCTGTAATCCCAGCACATTTGGAGGCCAAGGCAGACAGATTACAAGGTGAGGAGATTGAGACCATCCTGGCCAACATGGTGAAACCTCGTCTCTACTAAAATACAAAAAATTAGCCAGAAGTGGTGGTGCACACCTATAGTCCCAGCTACGCAGGAGGCTGAGGCAGGGGAATTGCTCAAACCCAGGAGGCAGAGGTTACAGTGAGTCAAGATCGCACCACTGCACTCCAGCCTGGTGACAGAGCAAGACTCCCTCTCAAAACAAACACACACACACACACACACACACACACACACACACACACACGGAAAGAAAACATACTCTGAGTTTTAGTTTTGCTCAGCACTTGACTCAGGGCTTAAGGCCCAAAGTCTGTGGTTGAATACTTTTCTAAGAATAGATCTATTCTCCCTTTTAACAGAATCACTTGTTGATAATTTCAACAACTGTACTTGACTTTGGGCAATAAAGGAAAAAAGACAAGCCAAGTCCAGTTCTCAAAAACCCAAACATATAGGTGAAGAGATGTCATTTACAAAGCAGTATGTGCATTTAAAAAAGAAAGGTGGCCAAGCACGGTGACTCAAGCCTGTAATCCCAGGACTTGGGAGGCCGAGGTGGGTGCATCACCTGAGGTCAGGAGTTCGAGGCCAGCCTGACCAAAAGAGAAAAACCCTGTCTCTACTAAAAATACAAAAAATTAGCCGAGTGTGGTGGCGGATGCCTATAATCCCAGCTATTTGGGAGGCTGAGGTAGGAGAATCGCTTGAACCCGAGAGGCAGAGGTTGCAGTGAGCTGAGATCGCACCACTGTACTCCAGCCTGGGCAACAATAGGGAAACTCCGTCTCAAAAAAAAGGGCAATATATGAACATAGGATTCAGATGGCATTATATAAAACCTTCAAAAAAAAGGAGCAGAATCATCTAAATTTACTATGGTAGAATTCATTCTCGTGGTAAAGGCAAATAAATTCTCAGTGTCATGAACTTCCTGAGACAGTGGCTCCAGAAAAAAGATGGTGTGACGTATATAAATATGGATACACTAATATCATTGCCAACCTCATTTAGATCTTTAAAAATTTAATATACTCACTATGAAAACTTGTAAAATTCCCGTGTTCAAGTAAAGCTCTAAGTTTGACTTCTTTTCCATCCAAAATTTTAAAATCTGCTTCTAAGATACACGCCTAAATCTAAACATCTTTCCCACAAAGATTGAAAACACATGGACTTCTACCAGTGCACATTCCTATTGAATAAATATGCAAGCAATGATAAATTTAGCTACTGTTAATAATAAAATTAACCTACTGGCTCTTATCGTTTGACTCCCCTACTTCCCAGAGAGGGTCTCAGTGACCCCAAATCATCCCCTCTCCTATAAGACCTCTTCCTATTCTTGTCCTACTCCAGACTCTCCTCACAATAAAAACCTCCATTTTGTCAGTGCAGATTGTTTCAGTGTATAGGATAAATCATGATTTAATGCACTCCAGCAAATAAATGATACCTCTTTCATATATCTTAAAAGCTTATCCTAACAAATCTAAAAGAAGTGGAAACATTCAGCCGGAGGGGAAAGATTTTTTTAATAAAAGAAAATAAGTTTGGCCACGTGCCGTGGCTCATTCCTGTAATCCCAGCACTTTGGGAGGCCGAGGTGGGTGGATCGCGAGATCAAGAGATCAAGACCATCCTGGTCAACATGGTGAAACCCCGTCTCTACTAAAAATACAAAAAATTAGCTGGGCATGGTGGCGCGTGCCTGTAATCCCAGCTACTCAGGAGGCTGAAGCAGGAGAATTGCCTGAACCCAGGAGGCGGAGGTTGCCGTGAGCCGAGATCGCACCACTGCACTACGGCCTGGGCAACAAGAGCGAAATTCCGTCTCAAAAAAAAAACAAAAAACAAAAAAAAACAAAGTCGGTGTTTAAAGTTATCTTTATCCTGATTTATTCCCAAAATATGACCTAAAAACACAAAAATGATTATTTTCATTAAAGGTGGGAAATATATAGAAAACAAGCTACTTCCTAAAGGTGTAAAGAATAGCACTAAACTCCGATAGGATTATTTTAGCGTCTTGTCCAGAGGCAGTGAAAACCCAGAGCTGAGCCTGGAGTAACGCGGTGCACACGGTGCACACAGTACACACGGTGCACACTGCTGCTCCACTCTCATTCTTCAGCAGACAGCTGCTTTGGAGGCGAAGTGCATATTTAACAAAAGCATTCTCAACGTCACAATCAATGGCATAGGACAGCAAGTATCTTACTCCCTTAGTTTCCTACTGCTGTAATGATCTGTTTTTGTCTTCCTCAACGGACTGCCCCCTGGCAGTGAAGGACCCAGCTCCAGTCCAATCTGTGTTCCCCCAGGGTTCAGGCTTGTTCACAGATGACTAATCAACTGAATGAACGCTGTAAAACAGAAATGAGCACTGCTCCAAATGCACACCAAAATCCAATCTACTTCCCCAGATTCCTTTCTTCTAAAACAAAACTGAAAAAGAATCCTTAGAATCTTTTACAAACATTAAAAGGGTAGGAGCCTAAGGTGTCTCATTGTTATGAACACGTTATTTGCAAAGTTATTTTCTGGTATCCTCATTAAGTAAAATTTCAGTTATACATACTTTCCAGGATTTACTTCTCAGAGAGAAATTGAAGCATTTCCTCCCCTCAGGCAAGGCGTGCTGGGTCACACCTATAATCCCAGCAGTTGGGAAACCAAGGCAGGAGGATCACCTGAGGCCAGGAGTTCAAGACCAGCCTGGGCAACGCAGCAAGAACTTGATTTTTTTGTGTGTGTTCTTTTTTTTGCTAGAAATGAGGTTTCACTATGCTGCCCAGGTTGGTCTTGAAGTCCTGAACTCAAGCAATCCTAGCTTGGCCTCTCAAAGTGCTGGGATTACAGGTGTGAGCCACTACTCCCCACTCAATTTTAGTTTTTTGAAGTTCTTTACATTTTTACAGTATATCTATGTCTCCTGACTCACAGTCTGGGTCCACTTAATATGCTGGAAACCATGGCTACCTACTGGAGACTGGAGAATTCATGCCAGGTTAAAGGTACCAGTCAAGACTCTGCCACTAGGTGGACCATGATCATCACTGCCACGCCCCACCCAGTTTCTTTAGCTACAAAAAGGGGATGTTTTCAGCGAGCCTTAAAATCCATTTCCATTTCAACTTTGAAAGCCCTCTCAATCCTAACAGACATTATCAGTAGGGCTATATTCAGTTTTAACCTTAAACTCACTCACTTGGAAAAAGAAAGCCCCACTCAAGCTAACTGGGGCTAATCTCAGGCTTCATAAAGAGCTTCTCTCCAAGGATTCATTTCCCTCATATACTGTGCTACACATCTCTGAAAACTGTCAGTTCTTATGGTCAAAATTACCAAAATAATCTTGAACTAGAAAGAATTTTTTTTAATAACCAAAATCAGAAGCAAGAAGAGGTAACAGCTGTTTAACAATATTTGGCACATTTCTACAAAATGACTATTAAATATATATTTAAAGGGGAGGGGGCAAAATAAAAGTGAACCGAGGGAAAACCCTGAAAATACAGTGTATATGAAGTACATACAGCACTGGGAAAACAATGGGACCTTATTGCTGGTCTACCCTCAGGGCGGCTTTCAGTTTCTAGGCAATTCCTTGTTCAGATGTGTGAATCTCACATTTCCTACCCTCACTACCTGCTCTTCGGCAGAGATTTTTCCAGAAATAACCCAAAAGTACTATAAGCAAAAAAGAAAAGAACTCAAGTTTCTATGATGAGAAGAAGGGCGTCTTTCCTACACACAAATATTCCTAGTTAACTTTTCACTGGTGAAAACAGAAGCCAGATCTCAGGTGGGCCGATCGCTGGAGCCCGCAGGTCCAGGCTGCAGCGAGCTGTGATTGCACCAGGACACTCCAGCCCAGGTGACAGAGTGCGACCCTGTCAAGCAAGCAAGGAAGGAAAAAGAAAAAGGAAGAGAAAGAGGCCGGGCGCGGTGGCTCACGCCTGTAATCCAAGCACTTTGGAGGCCAAGGCAGGTGGATCCCCTGAGGTCGGGAGTCCAAGAACGGCCTGACCAACATGGTGAAACCCCGTCTTAAAAAAAAAAAAAAGAAAAGAAAGAGAGAGAAAGGAAAGGAAATAAAGAAAAAGAAAATCTGCCTTTTATAAGTGCTACTCTCAGGGCTCAATAAGCCTAGATGCTCGTGAGGGTTTATTAAGTCACTAACAAGAAAACTTCTAACAAAAAAGGTCCGTCTAAGTCTTGCTAACCAACGGGCCAAGAGGCTTTTTGACAAGATATGCTTGGCAAGCCAATGTCCATTTCCATTTACTGAAGTATCTATCTCAGGCACAAAAAATCGAATAATGGGCAACAATGAGACCTGCAAAACTATATCCAAACCCAAATTAATGCTAAGCTCTTTCTAGTCTCCGGGAAACCAGGCAAAACGGACAAACAGCATCACCGTGAGCCCCCGACGAGGGCGGCAGCGCTGTTCTCCGTTCACTGGGATGAACGCGGTGCTTCCTACCGTACCTGCGCCTGGAACTCAGGCCAAAACAGACAAACAGCATCACCGTGAGCCCCCGACGAGGGCGGCAGCGCTGTTCTCCGTTCACTGGGATGAACGCGGTGCTTCCTACCGTACCTGCGCCTGGAACTCAGGCCAAAACAGACAAACAGCATCACCGTGAGCCCCCGACGAGGGCGGCAGCGCTGTTCTCCGTTCACTGGGATGAACGCGGTGCTTCCTACCGTACCTGCGCCTGGAACTCAGGCCAAAACGGGTGCCTGCATCTCTGCGTTCTCCTGATCAAGCTGGGAAGTAATCGCTTCGCATCGTCATTGTGATGGGGACACGTGCATGTTTACCCACAGCCGGGACACCCGAGTTGGGTTTCCGGTCAGATCGGGCGGAGAAGGGCTGTGTCCCTGGAATTCCGGTGTCGCGGCCGGTGTCGCGGTGAGCCCAGGAGAAGCTCCCACCCCAGCTCCGGGCTGTCAACACCGCCGCGGGCTGTCCCACCCCAGCTCCGGGCTGCAGGCAGCGCTGTCAACACCGCCGCGGGCTGTCCCGGGCGCGGCGGGCCGGGGGCCGATCCCCTCCTCTCGACCGAGGCACCCGGGTCTGCAAGGAACACTCGCACCCGGGCGGGCTTCCGCGCCGGAAAAACTGGCCCCGAAGGAGACGCGCTTCACAGCCGACCTGCCCGGCGCCGTCCGGGGACCCATGGGCCCCAGAAGCGCGACCGTCGCCGGGCAGCAAGCTCGCGGGGGCGGCGGGGCCGAGGCGCGGGGTGATTCAGCAGGCCCGGGAGCCCCGACCCCCGCCCGCCCCCCAGGGGCTGCCTCCTCCTGGGCCTCCGAGGGGTGCGCGGGCCGCCTCGGCCCAGCGACCAGCCCCGGGCCCGTGACCCCGGCCCCTCAGGGCGCCCCGGGCTCCGCGTCCCTCGGCTTCGCCGGCCGGCAGCCCACAGCCTCGCTCGGCCCCGGCCCCTCAGAGCGTCCCAGGCCCTGCCGCCCTCCACAGCTCGGACCCCGGCCCCGCCGCCTCCGCCACCCTCGCGGCGACACTCACCGAAGGTGCGGCGCTGCTTGAAGGTCTTCTCCGACGGCATGGTGCGGGGATCTGGGTGGCGGCGGCAACGACGCGAGGGCCCGGCGACTCCTGAGGACGGTGGCGGCGGCGGATCCGACTTTGGCGACAGCAACTTCCCTTGTGTCTCCTCAGGCCGCAGCCTGGTCAGGTGACTCGCGGCGCGTCACTGAGGGGCGGGGCCAAAGGCAGCCGGAGCCGCCGCCATGATGGGCGTGGCGGAACCAAAGAGCGGCACGCAGCGTCGGGCTGGTACAGGGGAGTACGCGTGCGCTACGGGGGGGGGGGGGCGGGGGGAAGCGCTCGCTGTGCGCGTGCGCCTGCTCCTACCCCTGACCCTCCAGCACTGCTGGGCGTCTGAGGTCACGGCGGCTGTCGGCTGGGCAGCACCCCGGGGCTATGGGCGCTCTGGAGCCTCCTGCCCGGCCCTGAGGAGATGGCAGCGCGAGGCAGGGGAAGCGGAGCCACTGGCGAGATGTCCCGGGGCGTTCTTGAGGGCGTGGTCAGAGGAAGGGACATGATGGAAACCCGACCACCCCTTCCCTTCGGGAGAGACTTGGCGCCGCGCCCTCTCCAGGAGGCAGGGTCGCCGCTTGCCCTTGGGAGTCCCAGCCTCCTCCGCGTGCAGGGGCGTGCGCGCTCCGTGGGTGGCTTCCGGCGAGCGGCCGCTGGCGGTCTTCATCCTGGACGCAGCCCCGTCCCCGTCCCGCCGCCGCCACCCTCGGGGACGCTCCTGGGAGCTGTGAGGTCTTCCTGCGGCCACGTGGCCTGCGGCGACGGCCAGGCCTGCCCCTCGTCGCCCTGTGTACCCCTAAACCCGCTGGACAACTCTGCACTGTGGCAGTTTTTGAGTCTCGGACGCATTTGCAAAAGGGCAGTGACGTTTGAGGACCCGGGGCGTAGATCGCCCTGCGATTTTTGGTTGCTGTTGCCTATGGCCGTGTCTCTGTAGGAACAGCACTGAAGTCTTGGGGGTTTTTCTGAAACAGGGTCTTGCTCTGCTTGCGGTGGCCTCGGCCTCCTGGGCTCAAGGGTTCCTCCTGCCTCCGCCTCCCGAGAAGCTCGAGTAGAGCCTGGGTCTCGCTATGTTGCCCGGGCTTGTCCCGAACTCCTGGCTTTAAGCAGCCCTCCCGCTCTAGCCTCCTTAAGAGTTGGGATTACAGACATCGCCAGGGCTCACGGCTATTTGGCTGTTTTTGTTCTTTAATATCTACTACTTTGAAAGATCCCCATAGTTCCAGGATTTCTTCTTTTGACTTTGTAAAAAACTTTTCTTCTCTGCCAATTGGATAAAGTAATTGGATTAGGCTAATGTACTCTACACTCTGAGCTTGAAACAGATGAAACATACGAAAATAGCCAGGGGCTGCGGTTCACGCCTATAATCCCAGCTGCTAGGGAGGCAGAAGAGGCTCGGAGGAAAGCTTGCGCCCAGGAGTTGGAGACCTGCCTGGGCAACAGCCAGACCCCGTTTGCCACGAAAAGGATTTAATTTAATTTAATTAATTATTATTTATTTATTTATTTTGAGACGGAGTTTCGCTCTTGTTACCCAGACTGGAGTGCGATGCTGCGATCTCGGCTCACCACAACCTCCGCCTCCTGGGTTCAGGCAATTCTCCTGCCTCAGCCTCCCGAGTAGCTGGGATTACAGGCACGCGCCACCATGCCCAGCTAATTTTTGTATTTTTAGTAGAGACGGGGTTTAACCATGTTGACCAGGATGGTCTCGATCTCTTGACCTCGTGATCCACCCGCCTCAGCCTCCCAAAGTGCTGGGATTACAGGCGTGAGCCACCACGCCCGGCCCTTTATTTTTTATTTTTATTTATTTATTTATTTATTTTTAAATAGAGATGGGGTTTCACCAAGCTGGTCAGGCTGTTCTTGACCTCCTGACCTCAGGTGATCCACCCGCCTCGGCCTCCCAAAGTGCTGGGATTACTGGTGTGAGCCACCAGACCACCACGTCCAGCCCACAAAAAGGATTTTTTTTAAAGTATGAAAATATATTTCTTGGCCAAGAGTGGTGGCTCATGCTTGTAATCTCAGCACTTTGGGAGGCCTAGGTGGGCAGATCACAAGATCAGGAGTTTAAGACCAGCCTGGCTAACATGGTGAAACCCCATCTCTACTAAAAATCCAAAAATTATCCGGGTGTGGTGGCGGGCGGCTGTAATCCCATCTACTTGGGAGGCTGAGCCAGGAGAATCGCTTGAAACCAGAAGGCGGAAGGTGCAGTGAGCCGAGATTGCCCCCTGCACTCCAGCTTGAGTGAAAGAGCAAAACTGTCTCAAAAAATATATATATTTCTCAAAGTGGTTTGATACAGTTGGGATTTCTTCTAGAGAAGCCAAGTACTGTCGTAGATGATCGTATCATTACTCCCATCCTTCAGAAGAATGATATTGGCTGTAGTTTTTTATTATACCACTATTCGTTTGTTTATTTATTTTTTGAGACAGAGTCTCCCTCTGTCACCCAGGCTGGAGTGCAGTGGGCGATCTCGGCTCACCGCAACCTCCGCCTTTCTGTTTCAAGTGATTCTCCTGCCTCAGCCTCCTGAGTAGCTGGCATTACATGCACCTGGCACCGTGCCCGGCTGATTTTGTATTTTTAGTAGTTTTTTTTTTTTTGAGACAGTCTGGCTTTGTCGCCAGGTGCCAGGCTGGAATGCAGTGGCACAATCTCGGTTCACTGCAACCTCTGCCTCCCGGGTTCAAGCAATTCTCCTGCCTCAGCTTCACAAGTAGCTGGGACCACTGGCGCGCGCCACCACACCCAGCTAATTTTTGTATTTTTAGTAGAGACGGAGTTTGACCATGTTGGTCAGTATGGTCTCGATCTCTTGACCTCGTGATCTGCCCACCTCGGCCTGCCAAAGTGCTGGGATTACAGGTGTGAGCCATGGTGCCCGGCCAATTTTACCACTCTGTGAAATAACAGTTCATTTGTGCAGGTGGCACTTTCTGTCCCTGATTTTTTTTTTCTTTTTTTGTCATAGTTCTTTACCTCAGACATGTCTCATAGTCATACAATTAATAAAGAAGAGTACTTAAACGTTCTCTCTGGTTTCCGGATTTCCAAAGGAAGATTTTTAACTTATATAGCTGTGGCTTCATGTGATCTAGGACAGAGTTCAAAAGATGTCTATAGTCTGTTGTTTCGTACTCTGTGAAAATAGAGGTCAGGCGTGGTAGCTCCCACTTGTAATTGCAGCACTTTGGGAGGCTGAGTCAGGTGGATTACCTGAGGTCAGGAGTTCAAGACCAGCTTGGTCAAGATGGTGAAACCCTGTCTCTACTAAATAGACAAAAATTAGCTGGGCATGGTGGTAGGCGCCTGTAATCCCAGCTACTTAGGAGGCTGAGGCAGGAGAATCGCTTGAACCCAGGAGGGGGAGGTTGCAGTGAGCCAAGATTGATTGCGCCATTGCACTCCAGCCTGGGTGACAGAACAAAACTGTCTCAAAAAAAAAAAAAAATAGAAAATAGAAAAAAATCCAGTAAGCGCATATTATGTACCTACCCTCTGCCAAACACAGAATGATCAGTTTGAAGTCTTAAAGGAGAGTAGACTATGTGTTGCTTTCTCTCCTGAATTTTTATGATATTAAGTATTGACTGGTGAGTGCTTTCTTGGCTGAATTGCTGCTTTGTAAGAAATGGGCTTTTTCCTGTCTCTTGCTGGACAACTGTTCCAAATGCGAGAAGAGGGGAAAATCGATATCTGGCATATGGAGATGGGGGAGGGGAAGGAAAGTCCCATGTTTTCCTACCCTTGGGCATCCACAAAGCTTTACCAAATTACTCCAGGCCTTGGGTTCATCGTCAGAGGAAGTAGCATTGAGGACTGTGGTAGTAACGGGCTGGGGTTGCTCCGTGTCTTTGAAATCCAGGACCAAGGTTCACATTTGCAAAGCTGTCAGACTTCTAAGGCCTAACTTCTCATTCCAACTTGAATCTAAAGCCACTTACCCTTCCATGGCTCTCAGAAAACAATCCAAAGCAATTGGGGTGTAAAGGTGGCTCACAGGTTTCATCCCCGTGTAAGAAGAATACATTTAGTCAAATAATATGTAAATTATAATTAATCATGTATATTCGTATACAAATAAATATAAATTAAGAAACAACCTCATGTAACTTTTGGAAGCATGAGTGTGCTTATGAAACATTTCATGTGACCCAAAAGACTACAATTTAGTAGAAATTTAATGTAGTGAACAATAATCAGAGTGGTGAATTATTTTAAGGTAGTTAACATCATATAAACATTAATGTTCCCTGAAATAATCCACGTAAAGTAGAAAAGCAAGAACATGTCTTTCATTTTAATTTACTCAATGTTTTCTCTATGAATTTCATGGCGCCTTTAAACTACCTAATAATCATCCATTCTAGAAAGCCCAGCAGTGGCACCCTGTTCCTTTTTTCATATATTAAAATGACCACGACGTGGGGGAAATGCTGTAACTGCTATAAATGGAATGTGATGGCCCAGCCTGAGTGATATAAGTGGCTGTCTAGCACAGTAAATCATGCTGTCTAGCTGTGTATAAGAACCTGTGAAATGAAGCAGAAAACAGGAACCTGCCCTACGGAAGGCATTGGGTTATTTTTGCCACACTCAATATGGATGGCAAGTCATGTGGAGAAATTACTTGGGGCCGCAGTCCTCCTCGGCCTCTCCCTCCTCTCCTCTTTCTGATTGGAGGAGAGAGGCCACCGGCTTTGTTGTCTGCACCGCTATAGGCCTAGTGTCCTATCCATCGCAGTGTCATCGGTTTGCTCTTGAGAGCAAGTAAACAAACAAGTATTGCTCAAGAGCAGTGCCGGGAGCTATTCTCAGAAAGGATTTGTCAGGCGGATTTGGAGGTTGACACTGAATAGACTGCAGTCTTCAGGAATGTCTTCCCTGGAATCTCCGGGGAATGTTAAGTAGCCAGAGCAGGCTGTATGTCCCCTCCCCGGGGAAGTTTGTCCTCTGTTCGGCTTCAGGAATCTGCAAACTAGAACGCGTGGTAAAGCACTGACACATCAGTCACATGACCCGAAGCTGTTGCTTCAGTGAGTGTGCAACACCTGGCGGAGCGGGCTGAGGTGCCATCATGCTTTTGTTTGCCTGTTTGCCTACTGCTTAATTCTTAAGCAGACCCTGTGACTGCTGCCTGTACAGCGTTTGCTCCTTTCTGGGACTGTTAAGGCGTACAGCTGTGGAGGCGCCAGCAGCCCTGTTCT